AAGACCTGGCAGAATAATTAAAAAAAAAAAAAAAACTACTACTCAGATTATTCTTACTTCGCAAAATTCACTTTCAGGAGGGGTAAAATTGGGTATGCAAGGCAATTGATTTCAGCAGACATTTTTTGCTTTTGCCAAAAAGGGGCGAAAAGATAGTATCTATTAACATGAATCTTTTCAGAATAATTATTAATTTATGGAGAGAGGGGGATTATCTTGAAGGGCATAACTGCTGTGTTATTAACAACAATGGGCTTAGTATATGCACCCAATCAAAGAAAAAAAACACCTTTTTAAGGACTTCTTTAAAATAGTGCAACGCTCTGGGGATGGGGGAAATTAGACATGACTCCTTACTAAGGCAGATATGATGAAAAGAAGAGGAATAGGGAAACAACTGAATCCAGGGGAAAGATTACACTTCTACTCATATCCTTATCAGTTTTATACTAGACTAGATTTAACGTTAATCTCTTAATCCTTCATAAAGATGACAAGATTTACAAAAATTGGAACCATTACATGATCAAATCATGGAAGCAATATTTGATAGCTGATATGGATCCCAAAGATCACCTTTTGGAAAAAGAACAGCTTGCTTCTTCAAGATATATAAATAAATCATAGACAATACAAAAAGGGGCCTTCTTTGGGAAGCAGATAAAGCACTAGTTGGGGCCAACCGATATGCAGAACCTTTAAGTTGGGGGGGAAAAAAAAAGCTCAAGAAAAAGTAGAACTCAAATAGGCATAAAACCATAGGTTCAAAAAAAGTGTATGAACAATATCTGGAAATTGAATGTGTTAAAAATAGATGCCAAGAAAAAAAAGCCATTAAGTATAAAGAAAACTTTTCTGAAAAAGGAAATAAAATGGGATAGGCTATTGGCTTGAAACCTAAAAGGGATTCAAGAGCAATATATTGTTCCATCACTTAAAAACAATCAGAAAAAAGATAGTTATACTGTGATGAAAGGTACTATTTTTCGCCTTTTTTTTTTTTTTCCCCCACACACTATAAAACCTTCTTACCTCAGATACTCCAAGCTCTAAAGTTATTCAAAAATATCTGGAAGTAGTTGGCTTGCCAAACACAAACAAAAGTTATGAACTTTAGCTAAAGAAATAAAAAGAAAAAATCTGAGAGGCAAAAGCATGTAATGAAAAATAGTAAAACTTCGGGATCTAATGGCTTTCCAGAAGAATTTTATAACATACAGCAGAACCTTGTTTATCTAATTGGGACCAGGGCCTGATAATCCGGAAAATGGGAAAGCGCAGAGGTACAGTGCCATATAGTGGCCACAAGAGACCCCCACCCTCACTTCTGGATTTGTGCACACTAGTTATTCATTTAATACAGAGAGCCAGACAGTGGCTAAATGGGTTTCTAATGTATTTAAAGAGTGATTGTTGAGTCCCTTGAGAGGTACCTTCCAATATTAATTTGTTAGAGCAGAAACTTCTACAACCCTATTAAAGAAGCTACTGTGGCTGTTCTCTCTAAAGCTGGAAAAGACCTTACCTTAGGCAGCTCTGAAAAGACAACATCATGGTTGCATCATAACAAAGACTTTTAGTAAAAATTCTAGTTAGCGGATAGTCGTCTATGCTTATGTAAATTGAGATCAATTAAGGACAAATATCAGACAGTATTCAGCGCATTCTTGGGATCATCCACAATACTAGATCATGAAAGATCCATTTTTTTAAATCATCACTTGATGCAGTGAAGGTCATTCATAGAACAGAGTGGATCTTTCCATTTCAAATCATGTCCCATAGATAGAGCCCTGCAAATCTGCAAGTATCTGCTTTATATCCAGAGATATAGACATTCACGGATCTTTTTGCAGATACCAATTTTGTATCTAAAACTCTACATATCTGTGGACATCTGCATATCATTTTTGCAGGTACAGGTACCAATTCTGTATCCACACAGGGCTCTCTACCCATAGGGATTTTGGGCCCTAGTTCCTTAAATAGAAAAACTGCTTTAGACACTAGTCCCAAAGCAGCTATGTGAATTACTGGGCTTAAATCTCCTGTTTGAATTACACAAGGGGACTAGGCAGGGACGTCCATTGTCTCCTTTACTTTTTGCGCTGGTCATGGAGCCTTTCACGTAATGATGAGAAACAGGTAATCTATCACAGGAATAAAACTTGCAAGAACACATCAGAAAATAGCTTTAAATGCAGACAATGTAATCTTTTTATAGAAACCAAATATTTCCCTAAAATTAGTTGCTAAAAAATCCATGACTTTGGGTGAGGGTCAAAGTAAATGCTGCCAAATCCAAAACCCTGGCTAGAAATTTCTCTGATTCTAAAAAGCTAGTCTTCCAGAAAACATTTGGGTACAAATGAACAACAAATTCTAGAAGACACCTGAGAATCTAAATCTAAAATAATCTCATATTACATGATTTGATTGTCAAACATTATTTCAGCAAATGGCATGCTGGAGAAAATATCTCTTTGATGATTCCAGATAAACCCTAGCAGGAACACAAAGGATTTTGTTAAAATGCATTTGGAATGAGACCAAAACAAAGTGCAGATACTTTGTAAAGATCCATTAAAACAGAATGGATCCAAATAGTCTATAGAACTATCAATCCAGCCAGCCAGCCCAAACCAGTAATGGAATGGAGGCACTACTGGAGGCACATTAACCCATCTAAACACTTTACTAAGCAAAAAAGTTGTGGTGGTTTGTGTATTGCTGGACTACCATGGATTAATTAAAAAGGGGGGGGGGGAGAAATCACACCCTCCAGAAATGTAAACACATCCTATAGTAAGGCTAACTCTACAGTTCTGGGAGAGAACTAGAGATAAAATAAGATCTTTTACCTTTCCATTGATACCCACAGCAAATAATCCAGGTCATAACCGAAATTACAAACCAGAGAGCTTTAAAAATTAGGAGAGCCACGGAACATACATGGTTGACCAACTGCTGAGTAAAGAAAAATTTTAACTTATTTAAAGATCAAAATTAACTTTAATTGACCCATTCTCCCATGGGGACATTACTTTTTAGTTAGGCTTTATACAGAAACCTAACTTTAACAGATGTAGTGGCATCTGGTCAATTAGAAAACTAACACGTTATAACTATATAACTAAAAAAAAAAAATGTTTACATGTGATATACTGGGAAAAGGACCTGGACAGAAACAATATGCCAGACAAATTATGTTTGATCTAGAAAAGCATACTAACTTCTTCAGTCTGTTGCACAATAAAAAAAAAAACCTTTCAGATACTGTTTCAATGTTTCAGACCAGTCAGGTTATACACACACACACACACACACACACACACACACACACACACACACACGTATGTACGTACGTGCACGCACACTTGAATGGGAACAAATGTTGGTGAAATCATAGTGAAAGAAGAGATTTTATGCATATATGGTGTACATGCCCACTACTCAGCAGACAATATTGGGATGTAATCCATCACCGAATATTTTTGGATATTTATTACCAAATGATCCTTTGGTAAATCCTTGTGTGGCTTCCTAAAGGAAATGGTCACACAAAAACTAATGAAGAATCAATTTCTCATCTGCTAGTAGCTCCTCAATTACTGACAGACTCTCACTGGAAAAAGAAAAATAGTCCAACCGCAGAGGAATGTTTTAAAAATATGGAAAGTGGTTACTACAGAAGAATTAACACACCAGTTATGTATCCAGCAAAATAGACAGAGGACAAATAGATACTGATATTTCGTTACCTTTTATTCAATAGTCAGACAAAGTACATTGACCTGCAAAAAAACCCACCACACCTGTTCATTTTTTTTAATATTTACATTTAATAGACATCCTGGTCTGTTAAATATGTGTAATCAGAGATTTCACTCAATTAAATAAAATAACTAAAAACAAAATGTGATGTTGTAATGATGATCACTCTTTAACATGGGAACACTCTGCTAAATAAGAGATCTGATGTTTGTATTCCAATATGTCTCTTTAAACAAAACTTCATTATTATAATGATTATTTTTTTGCTCCCGATAGTCACATGGCAAGGATTCTAAACCTGTTAATACTTCCTAAATTAATAAATAGTAAAAAAACAACTGCATTTCAATGTAGTTCTGAACCAGTACTAAAACACATTCAATGAAACCCTTCACAGAGTCCTTTAATACTCAACTTGTAAAATTTAAAAATATATTAATTCAGTAAGAAACAGCCAGCTAACAGAGTTCTGGCATAAAAAAATAAATGTTACAGGTTTTTGTTTTTAAAAAGAAAAAGAAAAAAACACTTGCAGGCAAAATATTTGTTTTTGCCTACTATAGTTACAAGAAACACAAAATATTACTTTGAAAGTGATTAAAGAAAGTTTTTACTATTTCACTATTCTATTTTTTCCATTTTGTTTATTTTGTGTATTTGACAGCACCAGTTTATACATAGTCAATTTCTCCTTTACAGTCTGTGGGTTTTACATTAAAAGCAAGAGAAGACAAATAATTAGGAAAATATTATTGTAAAACTACAGAAATGGGCACACACAGTCAGGTGTATATGTAGTAACGGAAAATATTTTCAAATCATTTTTAAAAATCGATTACATTTCAAACTGATGTTAACATTGGTAGGCCATTGGTAGTATTGTTTTAGGTTCTCTGGTTCAGGAAGATTAAACTTGGAATGTTTCATGGCAAATGACAAGGACTAGAAACTTAGTTGTATTTTTAAGTGAAAGTTTCAAATTCCATAGAATCTAAAGAGTTCATCAGTGCACAGATGGGAATTACCATGGCTGACTACATGCTGCAATAATCAGCACTCATATGAACAGCCTATCTCCAAAAGCCAAACAGTTTAGTCAATTTAGTCTTTAAAAGGGCAAATACTACTGATATGAACAATTTTTACAAAAACTGCGACTAGATCCGAGAGTGAGCAGGTAACAGCTTTCTTTTTGTAAAATATGATGTGTTATTTCCCTTCCCTACCTGTGCAAGAGCTGGTTTTGGGAAAACATCATCTTTGCTTTCTTCTTTGTTTTTCTCAACTGGAACCCATTCCCCATAGACGCTGTCTGCTTCCTTTTTCCTGTGTTGAGACCCAGATGAGACAGGGAATTCCTTTGTCAAAGTTACCTGATTTTTTGGTGCTGGTTTTACAATAGGAGTTGTCTTAAAGAGAAAAAAGCATTTTATGATTAAGAAATGATAAAGTATAGTGTACATACATGGTTCTATTCCATAGAAACAATTACTGTACGTTTCTGAATCCTGGCGTGCCAAACACTATTTTAATTCTCTCTGGTAACCTGATAGTAAAGTGAAAACTCTAAATATACAGCCTGCAAACTAAAATCCAGAAGATGTTATTTAAAATTTTGAGATTACATTCTTATTTCACATATGATGAGTAAAGTACCACCTAAATGGGTGCTTTTTCGTTCAGTTCATTAACAGGATTACAATTATTAGGAAGTAACATAGGTGCTACATAAATGTAAATTATTAATGCTGATGTCTGAATGAGAACTATACAGGAAATGCAAAACTCTAAAGCAGGGGTGGGAAACCTTTTTGTGTCAGAGGCCACTGACCCACAGAAAATTCAGTCAGGCAGGGAGCAGTGGGGTACTGTTGATTGCTCTGTGAAAAAGCCATAGCTTGGCTTTGGAAGCTGCCCCTCCACATTAGAAAACAATGACATTTCACAAAATAAAAATAAATACATTTTTAATCAACATTCATGTAATACTTGTTGTACCCACTGTATTCAAATATTTGACTTTTAAATCTTCTGACAAATATACAGTTTAAGATTAAATGTGAGGAAAATGCAAGTAAATCAAGAAACTGAAAACCAAAGTAACTCAAAGTATCATTAACAGTATCATCATATATTTACCTGGTTATGGAAAATAATATACTCATCTTTATGAGAAAATAGGAATAAGACTGTTAAAATGCATTTATCAGGCTAATCATATAGTCGATACAATATGTATTGACTATACAATTAGTTGATAGGATCGCTCTGCAGAGCCACAGTGGGGGTAGCTCCAGGAGTTGGCTCGAGCTAGGACTGAGCAGTCCCAGCTTGTCCTGGTTCCAAGAGCCACACGCGCTGCAGCTCTGCATTTAAAAAATAAATAAATAAAAACAGAAAATCATATGTTCTGTGCCCAAAAAAATCCCAAGACCTAGATTGGGGTAGGGAACTTCAGGCCCAGGGGCCAGATGCAGCCCCTGGCTTGCCTGGATCCAGCCCCCAAGACTTAGGCTCCTCCCACCCCCAGCACTGAGGCAGCAGCATTGGTGCTCCAGCTCCCTTGCTGCCCCACCGCAGGACTAGAGCACACAAAATCTACTAGGTTCTAGTGTGCAAGGGGAATGTGAGGAGTGTGTTTCTCCTCAGTTGGGGGCCATGTCGGTAAGGGTTTTTTTTTTTGTTGTTGTTTTTTTTTGTTGGGGTTATGTTTTTGGTTTTTTTGGCTTCTCATTTGTGTGCAGACCCCAAATGATTTTTCGGTGGGTCAGGGGCCCCCAACCCAAAACAGGTTCTCCACCCCGATCTAGATGCACTACCACAAGTCAAACCTACCATGTGTCCCTTACATAGAATATGTGTTATTCTATACTAATAACAGAGAGCAAGTGTGCTGGTTTCACTGATTTCAACTGTAGGTATATGTATATCAAAAATAAAGAGAAGATGGGAAAGGAAGAAAGTACATGTATAATACATATAAAATTAATTTACTATAGTTCTACAATGATATTTATACAAAGTAACCAAGTCACTATTTTGAAACTTGTGCATGAAAAAAAAATTATAATCAATACATCAGAAAGAATGAATCTAGTTTTGATTCCTGAGCAGTACCCTCTCTCATTCTTCCAAACAAATTCTAAAAAAGAATTTGGCAAAGCATTTCAAGCTATGAATATACTTCGTTCTTTCTAAAAAATAATACTTAGTGCTAATGTGTTTTTCATCTTCAAAGAACTTTACAGTAGGGATGTAAGCGACTAGTCAAGGGACTAGTCGCTTTCCCCCTCCCCTGCTGCCTCTGAGGCAGCAAGGGGTGGGGAGCAGGAGCAGATGCTGGGGTGAGCCAGCTTAAAAGCTGGTTCCCCCCAGCACCATCTTCATGGGGGGAAGAGGGGTAGCGGGACCAGGCACAAGCCAGGAATCAACTGATTCCCAGCTCGTGCCTAGTCCCAGATGCACCTCTGCTTTTTAAATGTATTAAGAGCTGACAGGCTCTTAATACATTAACAAGGCTGAAGCTCAGCCGGGGGGGAGGGGGGGAACCCAGCACAAAGTAGGATAGCTGAATCATGGCTCGTGTTGGGTCTCTCCTGCTGGCTTTAGCCTTTTAAATGTATAAAGAGCTGACAGGCTTTTAATCCATTTAAAAGAGAGCCGCAGCGGGGTTAGCTCCAAAGCAGGAGCTAACCCTTTGCAGCTCCCCGCTTGTAGAGTAATCAGTTAGTCGATGAAAAATCCATTAACTAGTCGAGTAGTTGACCGAACTAAATTTAACAATTTACAATATTTACAACATTTTACAATACTATTTATTCCTACTTTACAATATTATTTATTTATCACAACAACCCTGTAAGGTTAGCTAAGGTTTAGACCCATACGTAGGCTATACTTCTACAAATTGCTACATTTAGAATCCCTCTGAAGCTAACGGGGGAGGGGCGGGCGGTCTCTACAAAGGGCAATTTCCACAGGTAGCACTTTAGTACTCAGCACTTCTTACACCACATGTGCATATGTTCAAAGCTAAAAAGCAGCAGAAAAAAAATAGATGCATGAAGAAAACTAAGCACAAAGTGTCCAGTTTGACTTGAACTCTGAGTAAGAGGCACAATAAATAAAAATCAGTAGCCACAGCAAAGGTGGATCTCCAAACAAGAAAATCAAAGGTAATGTCTCTACCTGGGATGAATGTGTACAGTATTTAGTTTTTGGAAATTATCAAAATATTGCGCTACATAGTCCTGTTTTTTGTTTCAATCATATTAAGAGTGATGATACATACAACATATGGTTTTTGCTGGATAGATAAAAACCTAGATTATTTACATTAAAACATTTCAGTGTGTTAACAGATAACTGGAAAATAGGGAGTAAGGAGGCAGCTTATTAGCCTGCTTACCAGAGATGTGAATGAGCCTGGGCTCATCAGTTAACCATCACTGTTACCTGCAGTTTCTTCTTCCCTCACTCCCTCCCCCCACTGCTGCCTCTATATTGGAGCTTCCCTTCCCCCACATTGATGTCTCTGATATAGGACAGGCGACTTCATGGGAGCTGGCACACATAGGGAGCTGGCTTAAAAGTCGGCCCACACACACACTGTCCTTCCTTGTTGCTCAAAAGCCAGCTCCCCATGAGCACCGGATCTTGCCAAGTTGACTCCCCCATCCCTTGCACTGCTGCCTCAGATACAGAGGCAGGAGCATGGAGGCCACCAGGGGCAGCTGGCTTAAATGCTCGCTTCCTGCGAGCACCAGCTCCTGCCTCTCCTCCAACCCCTCCCCCAGTATGTAAATGTATTACCTCTGCAAATTTTAGCAGTTACACATTGTACAAAAATAAACGCATTTTAATAGCCCTACTGCTTACAATGTAACCAGTTAACTTGCTTGGCTGGCTAGACCCTGTCTGCAGCCACAGCTGACCCACCCAAAGCACCCCTGATGGCTGCACCAGGGATGGCCCTGCTGCCTAGCTGGAGCCAGGCTCGGGGTACACCCTGCCACATCAGCACCCCCAGCTGCAGTGGGTCCGGAGCAGCCAACCCATGCCACAGTAGGACCAGGTCCGGAACATGCAGTGGGGCTCGAGCAGTTCTTTCCTCCCAAAGCTGTGACCTGTTGTGCCATGGGCAGCGGGCTGTTCCAAGGTTAACCAGTTAACCCTAGTGTTTAACTGGTTTACATTTTAAATGTTAATTAACATGCCCACCAGAGCTGTGAAAGTGTAACCGTGTTCACGATTAACTGATGAGCCTGGGTTCACCTTCACGGTTACACGGAGGCTCCCACACGTACCAGCTCCCGGGGAGCCAATTGCCACCCTGCATAAAAGTGCTGAAAATTTCAGCAGTTATACATTTACATAATTAAACACATTTTAACATCCATAATTCCTACTGACCAGAACTGGCCAGAAAATAAAAATCCCTTCCTCTTTAAAAAAAATTTTCAAAAATGTATTTTTGGGCGACCAAATAGGAATTCTTCCCAGCTGCCTGACTGGAAGGTCCTTAAGAGGTAGGTGGGCATTGCTGCCCCTCACCCCCACCTCCCTAACCTGGCAGCCAGACAAGAAAAGTCCAACTATTCAGCCTCCCTCTTTTTCCTCAGCTGAAGAAACCAGAGAGGCAAAAAGGTGGGTGTCTCCAAAGCTGGTAAAAGGGAGTAACAGGGGAGGCTGAGAACTCTGGGTCTCTGTCTCGTCCCAATCCTAGATGTGGGAAACAGAGACACACTCAGCTTTTGCAGCCTTTCTGGAAGCCTTTTGCCAATTTCACTTCTAAGCAGAAAAATAAACTGATTAATTAAAGCCCTCCAGACAGGCAGCTAGGAGTCCTCATTTGAATTTTCCACAACAGAAAATGACACAATTGAAGTTTCCACCAGAAAGTTTTGATTTTTGTGAGCAGGGCATTTTCCATCAAAACATCATTCTGACAGAAATTTCCCCATGGATTCTAATCTGAAATATCCAGTCCCATTGCAGATAAGCAATCAGACTGATATTCCAATGTGGATGATGTTGGTGACATCACAGGAATGGTTGAAATTCCATTTGATCACACAAGTGTCTTACAGAAAGTCAGGTAAGTGCTACACTGCCTTTTTAAAACTTTCAAAATGTTGTTTTAATAACTTGGAAAGGTAAATAATTTTAGAAAAGATTTACAGGGCCATACTGATTCCTAATCCAAGACTCTTTATCCAGTCAGTCCCATTCTTCCCTCTCCCCGATTTCTTCATTAATCTTAGTTTTCCTCTAGCCACGGGGCTCCTGATGTCCTCCTTACTTCCTGCACATGGCTCCCAACACCTCTTGCCCAATCGGTTCCTGCCTCTCCAGTTTTCTTGCCCAGTCAAAGTTTCTCACCCACATCCCCAGTCTCACAATATTCCTTGTCCCAATCTATTCCATTCCCTCCTTTCTTTGCTCCTGATCGCTCTGCATTTGAATCACACTGTGTCTTCCTCAACCCCACCTTGGTGCCACCAAAGCATCACTGAGAACACAGAAGACAAAGGCTGCCTGACTCTCAGTTCCTTTGCCTGGCCTGCCCCATCCCTGGCTGGAAACAGCTAATATTGGGTAAATCCAGCTTCAGGTCATTCTATGTTGCTGCGTGGGTATGGCAGTTGAGAGAGGTTCAAGAATGCTCAGTGAGGATTAAATCTTTAGAGAATTTAGATGAAAAATGAAGAAATCTCTACCAAGAACGTGCAAAATAAGGTTTTTTGAACCTTAACTGCTTGGCCATATTTAGTCAGATTTTCAAGGGCATAAGAAGAGGCCACATTCCTGATACAAAAGCCACATGCCTGCTAAATTTCAAGTCTCTGATCTAAAGCTTAGAGGTGCTAAACCTGTTTAAAAAAAAAACAGTTGCCAGAGTCTTAAGATGGGCAAAAATAGTATTTTCCCTAGGCTCTCTCTCAGAAACAATTTAATCATTTTTGATTGAAATTTTCCAGAAAACATTCAGCCTCAGGCAGCCAACTATCATGGAAAATTTCAGACCAAATGCTTAAAATATGTCATAAGTTATAAGCTAATGAAAAAGGAGCTTATAATGGGACGTGTCAGGCAATGTCAATAATACACAGCATTTGTTACCAACCTAGTTTATTCTAAAAAATAAAACAAAACCCACTGTCTACTGCAGAGGTGGGAAATAATTTTTTATTGCGGGGAAGAGGAAGAGACACCAAGAATTTGGTAAGTGGTAAAGAGTCACACTCGTCCATGATATTAATGGAGGAGATGTGGGGCCTGGAATGGAAGCTAGATGCAGAAGGAAGCTTGGGACAAGAGATTAGGATTCAGAAGGGGGTATGTGATCTGGGAGGGAATTTGGATGAAAGAGGGGATTGTGATCTAGAGCAGAGGATTGGCGTGCACGATCTACAAGAGGGTATGGATGCAGAGGGTTTAGGTAACATGGGGCAAGGGTACAGGATGGGGGCAGGGGAAAAGTAGAGAGAGACTGGGATGCCAGAGGCAGGATCTGACTGGGAGGCGCTTACCTAGGTGACTCCTGGCAGCCCAGCAGGTCCCCCCCACCCGGCTCCCTGCCTTCCATGCCCCCACAGGCCACTCAGAGCAGCCAGTTGCAAGGCAGTATGTGCTTCTCTGAAGGCTGCAAGCAGGAAGGGTACTTCATGCACTGCCTGTGCTGTGATATCGTGCTGCGGGCGTGCTCCAAGGCTTTGCTCCCCGTCTCCCTGCAGACCAGGGAGACAGGGAGCAAAGCTGCGGAGCACGACTGCAGGAGGACAGCGCAAGCGCGCCCGGGCTGTCCCGCTGC